ACCATTATCTTTAATTAGGCATTCCTTTAATTTAAAAAACCGGCATGTAGCTTCTTATAAAGAAACACTCTGATATAAGGTATTGTAAACAAATACAAAACACATCATTGATGCCAACTGTTGTATACCAGAGGTTCCTGAGGATATGGGCTTCAAGGGAAAAATATTAGATTGGCACTACCTCCAGAGAAGAGGAAGAAATAAGCTAAATAAAGTGAAATTACTGCGTGCACAAAGTTGTACCCTATTGCACAAAGTTACCCTAGTAAATTTTCGCATAGTTTTTAGAATGATTTAATGGTACTGTCAAATGTAAACCTGTAGTTTTAAATATCAATTTACCATCCTCACATCAAGCTAATTATTGAGTATGCATGTAATCAACGGAAGACAGGCAGCCAGTCGAACGGCTCATCTATATGGAAAGTTACAGAAAAGACATTTCTGAAATAGATATCTAATGTGGTTGATATTAAGCTGAAGAGCTGTACCAAGAGGGAGGTGTGGTAAGCCTGAAGCACTAGGTGAATTTATACTAAAATTGCTTAAGTAAGATACTGCTGATTGCCACTGTCTGTGAGATTTCAACTTTCTTAGCATTTTTTTGGCTCAATGGATGTTTCAGATTAAAGATCTGTCGCAATCGAACTTGGAAAAATAAACTGAATGTCGTCACCTTCTGTCCAAGGTATCACAAGCGCCATGCAAAAGTTCAAAATTTCCGCCGCCATTTCATTTTTTTACAGAGAAATTGTTCAACGTAGCTGTTCGAAAATTTCACTGAATTTTCTTTGTGCTGCGGATAGGTAACATTTATCAAAATTTTCAGACAGATTCAAGCAACAATTTCTCTGTAAAAAAATGAAATGGTGGCAGAAATTTTTAAACGTTGCGTGGCGCTTGAGATACTTCGGCTGGAAGGTGACGATGTGTGGAAGGCTTGCCATTCCCTCTTTTTTGCCCTATGATTCTCTAAAATTATTATATCATAAAATTAAATTGATCCGATTCTAGTGTCCCAAGTATCTTAACAAGTCAAAGCTATTTTGTCTGAAATATCCCATATCAATAGTTCTGTTAAGCTCTGAGCTTCTACCTTGAAACTGATTTTTTTTATAGTAATATTTTATCAATCCAAAAATGGATGTGAGTCACCATGTATATCCAAACATTGAAGCCAAATCTAATTATCGATCTGTTTTGAGAGGCTAAAATTATGTCACTTCTAAGAAATTCTTTGCACTGCGTCCCCTGTAAAAGTTGTACAAGTATTTCCAATCATCATTGATTTACTTTTTGATTCTTTTATGCTAAAAAATGTGAAGTTACTGTTTTTTTTTTGTCATCAACTTTGGAGTGGTGGTTCTATGGAAGTTGTTTTTCTTTTGTTTCAGACAAACACAATGTATGCACAGACCAAAAGTCTGTTTAAGAAGTCCACCATATCTGTTCAAAGTAAGTATTTGATGATGTCAATTTTAAAATTATCACCAAGTTCTAAATCAGGGAGTTATGTTTTTACAACATTGATATATTGAAGAATTGTCAGCCTGGACAAGTTTGATCATTGAATATTTTCAATGAAAATAATTAAGTTGAACGGTATTATTTTTATAATCAATTTCAGCAAATCAAAAGAATGCACTAAGTTCAACTGTATTAACTATAAACTCAGAGATCAATCCTCTCATTTGTGGTTGAATTCGCTGTTTTGGTAATCCTCAACTTGTTCCAGAACCATTCATTCAAGGATCTAAGTAGTTAGATCTTATGACTTGGAGAATTTAAAAAAAATTTAGTTGTCTACTTTAAAAAAAGACAATCGAAAACACAGGAAAAAGCGGAAACAAGGCTAAAATACAAAATATAAAGGCAGGACGTTTCGGTACCTTACGGCACCATTTTCAACTGCAAAAAGAATTAAAAATAAAAGGAAATTAAAATAAAAACCAGCAAACGGCGTTACACGTGAAATTGGTAAATGAGACTGCCAAGTCTGTCCAAGGTAAATGAGACTGGGCAGTCTCATTTACCAATTTCACGATGTAACGCCGTTTGCTGGTTTTTATTTTAATTTCCTTTTATTTTTAATTCTTTTTGCAGTTGATAATGGTGCCGTAAGGTACCGAAACGTCCTGCCTTTATATTTTGTATTTTAGCCTTGTTTCCGCTTTTTCCTGTGTTTTCGATTGTCGTTTCTGTTTCGGGCTGCTTTTACATACCCTTGTTTTCCACTTTAAAAAAAGTATGGATACTTAAAATACATCCTAGGATTCATACCTGTGAAAATTAGTTTTGCTGAGATGGGTTCTTTTCAAACTGACATTTCAATTCTAATCTGACTCTAATCTTTCATGGATCTTCTATTATTTTTCTGTTTCAGTCAATTGTGATGCCATGAGCATCTCAGCCACAGTAAGGGTTCAATGGATCATAGCTGAAACAAATTGTTGGCAGCATTATGCCTTTCTAAAAAATGATGTGAGTATATTATGCGGCTCCATATTTTCTGCTTTTGCAACTAATTAGTTCTCTTAAGGGTTTTTTTTTTGTCAGCATTAATATTGAATATCTCTTTTACCTAATCTGCTTGCTCTGTGCAAAATCACAGCTACAATAGCCACAGAAGAAAGACAGTTTTAAGTCAGCCGATAAAAATATGTATCGTAAGAGAGAGAGCCATTTCAGCTTTTGGTTTCCTACGTTCAGGGTCCAAAATTTTTGAATTTAAATGCAGTTTTACACTCTTCATCGGCATGAAAATGATTTTAATGGCTTCCTACTTTATACTGATATTTTTTCCTGTTGTAAACCCTAACTCCGAATGGGAGACTCAGTTTTTCAAGAATTGTTCTCCTGAAACTTGTAACCTTGTGTATTTACATATATGTTCCTTTTCTGTTGATTGGCATGTATTCTCAAGAATTTTGCCCAGCTTTTTTGTGTATTTATGTAGTCTGGAGCAAATATATTTAGGGGCATATTGAACTTTAGCAGGCTGATGGTTGAAATATGTTTTAGTCAATGAGACAGGGTAAGACTAAGTTAAAATAGGAGATATGATTTATTGGCTGTATGTGACTCAATGAAGACAGAAGAAGAATTTTAGTAATTCAATCAGTCAATCAGGTAACTTCATTTCTGCTCAGCTCTTTGACTAAGACCAGTATTCAACAAGTGAACCATTACAAAAGAGCACCAGCACTAAAATCTTGTTAGCCTTGGCAGCGACAATAGATTTACGAAACTAAGAATCAGTAATTTCCTGTGCTTGGGCCCTTTTGTTATCGAAGGATTCAATTATCCTACATGGCCTGATGGCTTCAGTAATCATGCTCTGCAAGTGATTTTACCTCTTTTAACTTAGGTATACTCAACCATTTGGGACTAAGATCTCTAGTCAATAGACATTAATTTTAATTTCTTAGTTATTATTTTGTATTTCTTTTTTTATCAATTTTACACATTCTGGGAATTTTCCTTTTTTTATAGCTCTCTAGATTATGGGTGGAAAATATTGTCAGCAATTTGGACAACTTCACGATGCCTCATGTTGAATCCATACCTCGTATTTACAACTGCAGCAGTCACATAGATGTGGTAAAAATTCTTCTTTTTTCCTCTACCTTATGAACAAGATTTTTCCAAGTCCTAATTTTTAAATCACAACAGGCAGGCAAACGTAGACTCTCCTTTTCATGTACGTGTCTATCGAGGCTTGTAGTTACAAAGCTCTTGCAAAACTTTCAGTGCAACCTAATGGTTTTAGAAAGGATTCTCATGGATTTTTGATAAATCCTAAATTAATGAGTTTCAGTGTATCATATAATAGAAGCTAAAATGTTTTTTTATTTTGTCAGGGTCTTTGTGAGGTACAAGTGTGAGATAAAAAAGAGAAAAAATTTACTCTGGAAATGAAGAAATAAAAGCTTGAAATTTACATAAAATAAAAATTTGATGGATCCCCTAGTTTTGAAAAATAGGAAAGGAGGCACATTTCTTCTAGTTTTACAATCGAAATGCAACAAGGCAATCCTAAAATGGTTCTCTGTCAATTAGTTCCACAATTCTTTTAGTTAAAGTATGAAGAATCTTTGCACTTGTCTTGCGAGCATTCCCTTTTATAATTTTTATCAGTCAAAATTTTGTCTTTTGCACGATTCTATACACCAATAACTGATAAATTTGCTGTTCATGACATTTAATATTTGCCTTTTTATATAAGACTCTTGATTTTTATAGTTTCGAGACTGGCCGCCCAATAAAAACCTTCCAGTGAGTAAGGAGCCGGAAAAAGAGGCGCATGACTTCATCTCCCGAAGGAGCGCAGATCAGGATGAGATGGGCAGCAAGCTTTCTTTAAAAACCCCGCACAACACTGTGAGTTTCAGTTTCTGTAGTTTATGCCACTCAAATGGAAGGGAAGAATAGAAGACGAAGGCGCCTCCTTCTTTTGCATGTATAACACTGTTATAAAATATTTTGGTTTCAATTGACTTCCAACTGATTTCACAGGAAAAGTCAGGGAATTTTGCGAGTAGCAAGCCGGCCTAGCAACTTAAGGCAGTGTCAGCTGAGAGTGTGCAAATAACTTCCGAATACCTTCCTTCTTAATTAAGAATCTCTATAACTAATTCATGCAATAATAAATTTTGCCCATAGTGTAACAGTGGCCAGTGTGATTAAAAGAAAATAAAATAAAAGTCTCAAAGTAGAGATTTTATACAAAGTTAGGGAAAGTCAGAGAAATTTAGGGGTCGGAAAAGAGCACAAAAAGTGAAGGAAAAGTCATGGACTTTGAAAATGAAAAATTTGTGGGAACCTTGCAATTGTATGTGAGGGAACAAATTAATCATGTCAAAATTGTCCTCCTCTCATGAACTCTTTCCAGGATATCCTCATTAATTTCCGTGCGGGATCAATAGCATCGTACATACATCATACAGAGCATCACTTGCAAAAATCTAGAAGATATTAATTATTTTGGTTTGTTTTAAGCAGCCTTCAAAGCGATCATCCTTCCCAATAACCAAGGATGGAATTTACCTGCTCATCTTGAAGATTGAGCCTGGAATGCAAATGAATAGGGAACCATTCAATGCAAGCGTTCATATTGAAATGAAGGGTGATTATGGTTACTTGTCTGCGTCGGACTGGCCTCTTTTACCGGTAAGCTAATCACACAGGGATGTTGTGAAGTGGTGTTCTGTAGTTTTATTTGCCTTTCATATTCATAAAAAGCTCGTAGGTCAATATTATGAAATATTAATCATATTAAAGTGCTTAAAATGAAACAATGGATATCTCATGTGACAATATATTTGTAAAATAATTACTCGCAAACAGGCAGCGCAACTCGCACTTTACCACTTTTACTCGCAGCCAACCTGCTTTGGGCATTAACCTACGCTTGATGCATTCAATCAATAGCACCTCAGATAGGCACACTCTCCTATTTTTAGTTTATTTTTCTCATCAAATTAATACACAACCTTGCCACTGAAGAATCTTTACAGGAAAGCTAACAAAATTCTTAAATTCAAAACATTCGATCTCAATTCTTAAGAGCCTCTCCTATTTTCACTATGTCTTTTGTTCCATGAAATCGGCTCATACTTTTTCTCATATCCTGAGGGTTTTTAATTGGATTTTTATGAACTTGCCTACTTTTAAAATATTTATTCTCTTGATAAGAACACATATTATATTATAATTTTATTCTAAAACCTTTTCTAGTGACCTTTTGTCATTTTAGTTCATTCCAGCAACCATGAAATAACTTGCGTGAAAATTTATTTCTTAAGTTTTTTTTTTATTTTTAGGATTCAGGGTTGACAGTCTGGGTTTTAATAATTATAAAAGTGGTTCAAATTTTCTCTTACAGTTCTACGAAATAATGTGTATTATATACATAATATTGGGTGTGATCTGGTTGATTCTCTCTGCGCTCCAGTGGCAAGACCTTCTGCGAATCCAATTTTGGATAGGAGGAGTCATATTTTTAGGTGAGCTACATTGAACTCATATGATGTAAAATTTTTCTTCAGAAAAGAGACTTTTTGTGTCAAAATCTTTCAAATTTAGTCCCTAATACCTTTCAATGAGTCATAGCTCCTGAAGGAATGGTTTCTTGCAGAAAAAGTAGTGTACTGTTGGAAGCATTAAACATGATCTTTAATGACTATCGATGACTAGCAAAAGACAGTAATTAAAAATGCAGCATTTTTAAAGGTTAAATTTCTGGTTTTATTTCTTTCATTTTTTTTTGCATGGAGCAACTCATTTCATATGAAGTAAATCGTTTCAGTTAACATCTAACTCAATGTCCCAAATTAATTTAAAACTTCAATTAAATATTCTGAACTCTCACAATAATAGAAAGTGTTGATCTTTGAGTTCCTACTTACGATTCCTCAGGGAGTTACACAGAATTCTGCTAAGAATAAGTGTCTTCCAACAGGCATAATTGATTTTGTTCGCAAGAAAAAATATTTTTTCATGAGATTTAAGTGACATTTATGTAGCGAAAATGTTTTAAAGTTTTATTGAACTTATGTGCATTTATATGAAAGGTTATGTTTCTTATGTTGTGAAGTCCTGTTGTATGACATTATAATTTGATGCAGGTATGTTGGAGAAAGCAACATTTTACGCAGAGTATCGTAGTATCAATGTCACAGGAAAATCAGCCCTTGATGGAGCTGCAATGATCGCAGAACTGGTTTCTTGTGCAAAACGTGCTCTTGCCAGAATGCTAGTCATAATTGTCAGCGTTGGTTTTGGCA